AAAAGCACAAAGCAGTTTTTGGGAAGAAGCTGCTGAAATGGAACTTACTATTGGTATACAAAGGGTATGGGAGTTGATTCATAATTGTGTATGTGGCATGGCAGATCCCAGGTGTAAAGGGTGGTGGGATTAAGGAATGTAAACTCCATGTATACCTCAAGATTCATTAATTGCGTACAGGGTTCAATCTTTGGCACAAGACCTTGATTTGATAAAGGTTAATGTAGTGGATTATAATGTCCAAAATCTTAAAAAATAACTATATGCATAGAAAAAGAGCACTAGGCAATTCAATGAACAAAATAGGTCCTTTAAAAGCCAACTGAAAATTTGTCATAAAAAAAAAAAATAAAAGAATAAAAAAAAAATGACGAAAAGCAACAACAGAAAAATTTATATTTGTTTTGCTAGAGTTACCTCCCTTGCAATATTTGTTGTTCTAGAGTTACCTCCCTTGCAATAGTCAAGCTGGCACTTTGGTACGAATATGGCTGACTGTTTCAAGATGTCTACAAAGCCATGGGGTAGGAAAAGTGACTCCGCTCCATGAAAGAGGAGAGTATATCAATAATAACTGGAAAACTGTGTGAAAACTCATGAGTATACTATTATTTTTGCTGGCAAGCGTAAACTCTCATTAATATAAGATTCTCAAACAGAGTGCAGGTGGTTAGTTTTATATCATGAGCAAGAAACTTAGCATCCCATAAATAACTGGAAAGGATTTTTTTTAAGGCCTTTGTGGATTATTTATAGCAGAAACATAATTTGGATTATAAGAATATATATTTTTTATGAATGAATATTGCATTAATAATCTTTTGGGGATAACAATGATTTTTTTTTCCAGATTACTATTTAACCCATAGTTGGAGGGAAAGAGATTTAATAATTGGGAAATATATTTAAATGTTCATTAAGGACTGAAAAAAAAATGTCATCATATTTAAATTTAAAATTTCAATGTTTGCTTACTATGTCATAAAGCATATTTTGTTTGATAAATCTGTTACTAAAAACCCTTTCCACTTATAAATTGAGATTTTGTAAGTTTAAAGCAGCCCTGCAGTTGAAAGACAAAATGTTTACCATTTCTTGTGATGTCATATGTTAACATAGTAACTTTTGACAACAATATTTTATCAAAAATCAGAATTATTTCAAGATAATAATATTGCAATGCAACATTTTCTTATGACATGCCAATATTTCCGCCCTTGTAAACATTAAAATTTGATTCTTGATCTTCAACAAATAAAAATGTCAACGTAATGACAAAATCATCAGTATATAAGCTGACACCAATATAAAATATATATAAAAAATATTGACATTATATACATTATTTGGACTATTGTCCTCATCTTTGTCGCCATATTTATCACAATGTTTCAGCCATTGTACGCTCCGGCCTTCTTCAGGTGGTTGGAATTTCGAACTGAACCCTTTATTTCGATCACTAGGGTAGACTGTTCTAGTTCCACATGCCATGTTTGATGGATGTCAGTTATCAGTTATCTGTCTGTCCACCTTTCTGCCATCTTCCTCATCCTATCTTAATTTTCCCCAGTTCAGTTATGTAAAAATTAACAGATATATAGTTGACGGCTATGCGAGGAGGGGTACTGAGAAGTTATCAACATGACCCACTTCCAAAAATCTGACAAAATGATCAAACTGTAAGTTAAAACAAAACTTCTTTGGAAGAATGTATTGGTTAGTCCTAGAACTTATCAGCACACTCGTGCATATGTATGTGTGTGTATGTGTGTGGCGTGCATGCAATAATTGAAAGACTGCCCAAATACTACTTTCTGAAAGCTAAACCAAAATGTCCTGAAACAAGATTTTGACCCCCAAGCTAAAATGCACACACACTGATTGTAAACAGTAATACCAGTCAATTTCTATATTTTCATGGCAACTGATCCGACAAGCTTTTTTTCCCCTGGTGCCTGGACTATGTAATTAAACTTACATACTGTAAGCTGCTCGGCCCAGAGGCTAGGATCAAAGTGTAGTACGCTGCCTTTGTGAGCTTCCGAGTTGGCGTCTGTCGAACTCTCTGCATTAGCAGAGAGGAACCCGGACGTAGCTTTGCCAAGGGCAAGGTTTCGTTCGGGAGGTAGACAGGGCCTGAATCCGTCAGGCGGGTTCAAAAAGGCTATATTTTTGGCCGAGCCCTACGGGCTCGGGATACCCACATTAAACCGGCCTTGTGCCACATTCTATCCTCGTGGGTGGATTGATAAATACTAAACTTACATACTGTGCTACTAGATTGGCATTTAGGTCCCCCACTTTTATTGTTGAATTAATTAAATGTAATTGCCATTTCTACTCCAACAGTTTCTTTTCTCACACTTCCCAGCTGTGGAACTTTCTTTTGTTGACTTGCTTCCCTGATCTTGGGGCCAGCAGATCATTATTCAAGCATATATTGTTAAATATAATAGACAATGAATGTCTGTTGTTTGATCAGGAGCCATTCTAAGCTTCGTATAGTGGCTTTAGTTTCAGGAGAAAATAAAGACAAAAACTGTCCAACATTTGGATATTTTTTTTTATTATGTTGTCCCTTTGTCTTTAAACAAATTCAGAGTTCTTTTCTTATCAGAACAATCACAGTGAGTTTTCAGATTGATACCCAAACACTGAAATGTTTGTAGTGGAGCTTCCGGCACAAATGCCAAGCTGTACAGAATGTGGTTTTCTAAATTTGTATCATGGTGCTCTTTTTCTCAAAGACGGTGCCATACTGACCCTACTATACTGTGCAGTTAACAAAATCAAAAACAAACATGTATGCCCAAAATTAAAAATATAAAATGGCAACAATTTACCCAGTGTGTGTGTATATATATATATATATATAGGTATGTACTTTTAAGTAATTATTTGCCACGACTTTGTTCAGAAGTTATGGAAAGCATTCAAAACCCATGTAATAATCAAAGAAGATCTTAAAATTCTGCAACTAGTGGCTGGTTGCTTTTGTGTGTGGAGGTGAGGCTAAGTGAATAGGAGGTGGAGTGTATGGCAATAACAACAGGTCTGTGAAAAGGGAGACCTTCTTGTGAGATTTGTTTAGGTGCACACTGTTTCCCACCTTCTGATCAAGTCTTGAAATATCTTCCAGGTTGTTCATGCTTCTCAGCAGTTCTTGGAGAGACTGAATGTCACAAAAGAAAAAAATGGCAAAGGAAACAAAAAAATTCCACAAATACATTATAAATGACTAAGATATGAACACAAGCAAGTCACATGAAAAATAGTTGTCCCATAATAGTGATGACATCTGAATACACATTTCATACACATTATGTACCACCAATTATGGGACATAGGAAGTAGATACAACCTCTGTCCCATAACATTTGTGCCATTTGCATACACTTTTCATACCTAAATGTACCAACAATTATGGGACAGAGGCAGTGCATTATATTATTATAAAATCTCTGGCCTGGAATATTTGTTACATTTCAAACAGTAAATAGAGCAACTGTTATGGGACAGACATAGTGCATTATATTATTATGCAACTTCTGTCCCATAATATTTGTTACATTTACATATGCATATCTTATACAAAATGGAACAACTATTATGGGACAGACATAGTGCATCATATTATTATGCAACTTCTGTCCCATAATATTTGTTACATTTACATATGCATATCTTATACAAAATGGAGCAACTATTATGGGACAAAGCTAGTACATTATATTACAATACGACTTCTGTCCCATAATAGTTTTTACATTTGCAAACACGTTTCAGACTCTGAATGTGACACTTTGTTAACAAAACATAGAAAAACATGATGCTGTGTTCAAAGTATCAAAATATTTACAAAAGCTCCAAGCCACTCCAGAAGGAGATGGCTGAAATTTCAAGAGTACAAAATGAAGAAAGAGGGCCTGGAAAATGAGACACTCACAGGACATAGTGAAGAGGGACAAAAAAAACCCCCAAAAAACAGTGCATAACCTAACAGGGATTAGGAGAGATAACAAAAAGACAAAATTTATTAGGATTGCTAACGTCTTGGAGAGACATAGCATATAGAAAAAATAAGGGGTTATTATAGTTCCATCTGACTCAACAGTGCTTTTGCAGGTACATGGAGAAGAGGATAAATTTATGCTCCAGATACCATACCGATTATACTGATATCTATTAGTCACAGCAATGCACTATATTAAATGAAATAAGAGGCTATGGTGGTTCCTTCTATCAGTAGAGATAAGTGTCTTCTAAACAATCCACGTCCTTGTAGGTGATAAATTATTTTCCAACATACAACACCTTTCTCACAGACGAAATGAAGGAAGACTCTCACCGCACTAATGTTATTTCTGTGGAAAGTGCTCCGACAAATTATATTCCTTAGTTCCACCAATTCCAACCTTCACAGCTAAGGCTTTGCCATACTGCACATATTGAAGTAACCAACAATCATTCCCTTCGTATTCCATTGGTGCGAAGTAAGTTCCACTCAAGCAGCGTTTTCCTACAAACCACTGCATTTTGGAAACGACTCCCAAGAGGACATTTTCCTGATCTCTATAATCTTAACCTGTTCAAGTCTAGGATTAACTGTTATCTTTCCCACATATCCACATAAACTGTGTCTCTTACTCTGTAACCCTCTACCTGCGAATCACTGCTCTACGGAACCGACACACAAGAGGATGTTTTCCCCGATCTCTACAATCTTAAACTGTTCAAGTTTAGAGCTAGCCATTATATTCCTCACATAAACTGTGCCTCTTACTCTGTAACTCTCTACCTCGAATGGCTCTTGAGCCTTGTACAAAGTGAACATCATTTAAAAAAAAAAATACATAGAGACATTTTTATTTCTCCTTTACAATTTAATTTTTTTCTTTCTCTTACCTCCATGTTGAAATGAGGTGGTTATTTCCAATAAGTGAGTTCAATCCCCCCCCCTGGGTGTACTACACCCATAACCTTGTGCCAGACTAAAATAAGGATGCCCAACAATACAATCAATTCATGAAACGATAGTTAATCTTCAGTCAAATATGTCTCGTAAATCCAAGAACATTATCTCAAACCATAGCGATTATCTTGAACAATCTTATTTTTCATGGAAATTTACACTTAGTCTTCAGGTGATGCACTCAAAACCAATTAGACTTTAGATTTCATGCACTTCAAAACCAATAACATTATCAGTTTGAAGATATGAATAAGGCACTATATTAAATGAAATAAGATGCTATGGTGGTTCCTTTTATTGTTTGAAGTAGAAACTACTTCAAAATGCATTGTAGTATACATACATAGTAAGGGAGCTTACATGATACAAGCTTCTTTCAACACTTGATATTTAAATAAAACTAGTTGGACCAACATTTAAAATTTTTTAAAACTATGCAACCATCATCAATATTAATAATTTTTTTTTTAAAGTCCAATTGGCATAGTTCAGAATTAATAATACAATGTTTGCTGTGAAAAAAATGGCTCCTTGTTATTTTCACAGAAACTACATGGAGCACAATAACACCACTGGATAGAGCAAGTTTTCTGCTAATTTTTTTTTTTTTTTTTTCACTATTGGCTATACATTTTTGAAGAGACCTTCAGTTTTTAGACCAAACTCCAATATAGATGCTAACCTGAAACATTACAATCTTAACCGCTTCAAGTCAAGAACCAATCATTATCTATCCTTATCATAATCTTCACCTCATCCTATCTTCTCTTACATTTAAATCACACATTCAGTAACCCTCTACCTTGGGTAGCTCTCGAGGCTTCTATTATGTGAAATTTAGTAAAAATAAAATAATCTATTTGAAAAGTAATATTAAAGAAATAATACCCCCAAAATTAATTAAGTTCATTAAATAATTTTCAGGGATAATTATTCTTTGGTCGTTATCGGCATCTTGCAATTGCACCTGTGATAAACCAAAAATCAACAATAGCAAAGTTTTGTTTCTATGCTTGACAATATCTTACCTGCAGTTCCACTTTCATCTGGTCTTGCTGCTCTATCATACTAAGGTCAAATTTCCGCTTCAGCATGTCCACTTCATTCTGTAATGCCTCCTTGTCATTGACCACTTCTCGCAGCTTGCTACTTAGCATTTCCATATTCGTGTCATAAGCCTTCTGCCTCTCCATCAACTCATTTTTCACTGCACCAATGTCTGCAGTCAGTTTAGCTGATCGAGCCTTTTGTTTTGTCAGGCTAGTCTGGGCTTTCTTTTCTAATGTCTTCAGTTTCGACTTGAGGCTACTATTCTCAGCCAAAAGTTCTGTCTTCTTACCGTCTTCAGCCATAGAACTGGTTGCCGCAGACAATTCTTCCATTGTTTGCTTCTCTTTTTCAAATTCACATTTTACTTGGTTCAGCTCTTCTTGAACAGAACCCAGGTGTTTCTCAAGGGCCTCTTTTTCATGGACTTCATGCACACACCTGTAATCAAAGAAGGTTTACTTATATTGAAAGTTTATGGAGAGGTACATTAAAATAATATACCATTTTTAATGACCATTTCATCTTTTTCTTCTTAGTGTAAATTTTCAGGGTATAAAGAGGTGTAACTCAGTGTTGTTTTTTTTTTGTTTCATATATAGCATCAGTAAATTATAAGACATAAAAACAATTTTAAAACACAAATCAGCTACTAAAGTTTTGTTGGGTTTTTTGATTCCTCAGGCAGTTTGCAAAACAAAAAGAAAAAAACATTTTTTTTTCACAAACAGCACAAGGAGTCAAAAGTAGCTTATTTGTGAGTTTTTAAATTGTTGTTACGTCGTATAATTTATTGTCGTTATATTACTGTATGATTTATATCAGATCACATTGAGCGTTTTCTTTGGCTTGTAAAATTGATAAGGGTGTGGGGCTGGTTCATGCCACAATTAGTGCTGTTAATATACGTATAAAAACAAAAGGAAAACTTATCTTAGCCAACGTGTTTCGTCCTCTGATGGACTTTATCAAGGTAAATATAAGGATTTTATTTTGCAACAAGTATTTATAAACAAAACTAAAAATTTGTTAGTTTTTCAAAATTTTTAAATTTAAGAGATGCTCATAAATATTCATCAGGTTAACTGAAGAGTCTAGATAAATTATGGAGGATGCTAAGTGATTATATATATATATATATATATATATATATATATATACGAGTAAATTGTCGCCAGTTTATATTTTTAATTTTGTTTTTAACACAGTATAGTAGGGTCAGTTGGGCACCGGCTGTGAGAAAAGGGTACCATGATGCAATTCACTCCGACAGGAATTTGGAAACAGTGTGCTGAACTGATTGGCATTCATGCAAGAAGCTACAATACAAACATTTCTGAGGAAAGTGCAGAGGATTTGGAAAGAGTTGGATGAGTCTGATGGTGATTACAAAGGTGTTTGGAATGATAATGAGTGATGATGACATTATGCCTTCATTCATCTTCCCACAGGGCCTCAGACTCAACATGGAGGCCTACATCAAGTGTCTTGACGAGGTAGTGCTGCCTTGAGTTAACGAGGTATTTCAAGATATTTTTGTATAATTTTGGTAAATATATCTGTTAAAATGAGATGTCAATGTTATTTTTGCATCATTTAGATGACAATTTATCCATTGCACCCTGTAAGTAAGCAAAATATTCTATGGCGTATTTCAATCAGAAATTATATTCTTTTGAATCAATCAGTAAAATCGGCCATTTTGACACATTTGCAAACAAAAGTTAATTCTCAGTTTTAAAAATTTTGCAAAAATAAGATATATATATTTCTGAAATGTTACTTGAGGAAAATTAGCAAATTTAAAGTTAAATTAATCTGATTTGAAGCAAATATTAATTACTTATAGCATAAAATGTTGTATACAAACATTTCTTAACCATGGGGTCTTGTTTTTCTGCAGTGTTGGTTAATTTATCGATCTCCTAATATGTTGACAAGTATGGTGAAGTAGAAATACTATCAGCTGATAAATTTTAGATGAGGGATTTTTCCCGTAAGGGGGAACAACCCTTAAAACACGTAACCTTTTAATGATAATGTCATGTATAAAATAGTATACTTAGAAAAATTAGGATTTTTATACACAAAATAAAATATGAAAATTCTTTTTAAAAATATTGGGTGGGGCATAAGATTGCAATAGTTTTACTTAATAATATTTCCTAAGAGTTACACCTTTGAAACTGAATTTTAAAAGATTTAAAAACTTATCCAACTTAAAGTTGTAAAAAATAAAAATGAAAACAAATCTTGTAAAAATTCATTTTTCATTGCAAAAATTGTTTTTAAATATTGTCTTTAATATATATTCATGAAAGCAATTAAAAGCTTCTCTAATTAAATAATGTCTTAGTTTTATTGCATTTTTTTAAGTTTTTCATTCAGAAAAGATTTTCAGTAAGAAAATTTTTTCAAAAAAACGAAAAAAAAATTGGTGATTTAAATTCTTCAAAGAATTCCAGTTTTAACTAATATAGTCGCTAGAAATAATTACATTGAATTTCTCAAGTTTTCATAAAATTAAGTAAAGGGATGAAACATGTAAAAAAAATATATTTTTTACAAAGATTTTCTAGTAAAACATAATTTCATTCATTTGTGAATAAGTGTTGAAAATTTCATGAAAATTCAACAATTATTTGATTTTTGCAAGAATTTCCAAATTAATGTGTCTATCACCAAAAAAAGAGGCTAAAATTTGATATGCTAAAATTCAGTACATCTGCTGATGCAAGAAAAACAATGTTTTTTATCAAAATTTCGAATGCTCTAAAAAGGAGTAAACAAATCAATTAAATAATCAAAAATACTTTGTTATTATTAAGAGGAAGGATCAAAGATTTTGACAATAAAACTATATTTTCATTACACTTGGAGCATGTGTTCATCATGGTATGTTAATTTTTTTATGATTTCATGGAGGTACCTAGCTAAATATATGTAACATATGACATAGATCATTTATATATATATATATATATATATATATATATATATAATATAAAGAATTAATGTTTTTATTTTTTAATCCAAGATTTTTATATATTACACACATGGACAAAAAACCTGGCACACACAGCAGCCATACTGATGTGGACAGGTAGACAGACACACAGACTGACATGAGTGGACCAATAAGTCTGTTTCCTGACAGTTATTAGCAGATTTTTATCTGAATAATTGTGTTGACAATATATTTAAAAATTAATTTGTTTTTTAAAATGTTTTTTCATCATGAAACCATAAATTTTTAGTGGGAAGTTGTCGGCTAATTTTAAATATGCAGATTTTGAGAACTACTGTAAGAGATTCCTTCCATTTTACCATATTAGAACTTTTGTCAAAATTTCTTGGTCTTTTTTAATAAGTGATAGCTGAAGATCTTTTTGGAAGCATGGAGCTGTACAGTCTTACATTCAATGTCATATCTTTGATAAACAGTAGTGGCAACAGATATTTGTAGGAGATTCTAACAAATTATATCCAACATTTCATCCACCTGGATCATACATGATAAAATGAAATTAAAAAAAAAGACAGGTGAGATATTGAATAACACCTGTCAATTTGTATCTTATCATAAGTTAATACACTGTCCTTGCTGAGTCAATTTGTCTTTTATGAAGTTCAAATCTTAAAAATGAAATAAACAAAACATGAAAAATTTTGTCCCATAAGTTTTTATATTTGCATACACATTTCAAAAACGACATGTAGAACCATTTATAGGGCAGATATTATAATACAACCTTTGTCCCATAATATTTGTTACATTTACATTTCATACACTAAATGTAGCCATTATTATTGGACACAATGAGTACATTATATTACTATAAAACCTCTGTCTCATAATAGTGTCTTCTACATTTGCACACACATTTCAGACCCTGAATGTTACATTTATATAGTGAAAAACTTACCACTGTATTCAAAGTATCTTGAACAAAATGTTTACATCACTTAATTTCAAGTAAAATTAGCCATTTTAAAAATTAGCTACCCACAGCTGTTGAGTTGTATAATACACTGCCTTTATGAAGTCCATTTCATAAAGTTCAAATGTTGATTATGAAGATGTAATATACAGATGGAGGCCTTGTTAGTCATGTATTGAAACATACATGATCGCCTAAACGTGTATCATGCATGGCACATAATTGACTGAAATTCACTTACATGCTAATAACCTTGGGAAAGGTATTAATACTCTTCTTTTCCCCCAGCTATGGGTAAATAACAGGACAGGCTGGGTTCTATAGCCTTGGATGGCAAAATGAAATAGCAGCCTACTGTGGGGAAAAAATCTGCCTCGTCAGTCATGTATCGAAAGATTCATGATCACCTCAGCATGTATCATGCATGGCACATAACTGACTTACATGTTAATACCTTTGGATAAGGTATGAATCCTCTTCTCCCCCAGCTATGGGTAAATAACAGGACAGACCGGATTCTATAGCCTTGAATGGCAACTGGTCTACTGCAGAAAGTAATGGCAACCTACTGCTGGAAAAATCTGCCTCGTCAGTCATGTATCGAAAGATACATGATCGCCTAAATGTGTATCATGCATGACACATAATTGACTGAAATTCACTTACATGCTAATACCCTTGGGAAAGGTGTGAATTCTCTTCTCTCCCCAGCTGTTAGACCGGGTTCTATAGCCTTGGATGGCAACTGGTCTATCACAGAAAGAAATGGCAACCTACTATGGGAAAAAAATCTGCCTTGTTAGTCATGTATTAAAAGATACATGATTGCCTAAGCGTGTATCACGCATGACACAAAACTGACTGATATACAGATTATTATCTGTTTCCTATCAAAATTGAAAATGGGCATAAATCCCATTTTTTTTTTTTTTTTGCAGATAATGGTTGAAGGCTGAAATTTAAAAACTAACCTGTCATTTAGTTCAGTCATTTGACTCCGCAGTTCAGACACTTCTTGAGTTAGCTGCTTGTTCTTCATTTCCAGCTTGTTCAAATTCTCAGTTGCAACTTCAATAGCTGCACTAGATCCCTGCTCAGTGGCTACATCCTGCTGGATCTTTGCACTCTCTAAAGCTTCTTTGAGTTCTACTTCTACCTGCGACTTTTCCTTCCTCACTTGGTCAAGCTCAGTCATCTTGGCGCCTAGTTCCTGCTTCATCTGCCAAAAGCTATTCTCTACTTTATGAAGATCACCTCGCAGTGTCTCCAAGGCAGTATCAAAGATTTTTTTCTCTTCCAGGGCTGAGGCCAGCGAGATTTCAACACTGGCCTTATCTTCTTTCAGCTTGAGAATTTCCTGATTTTTACTACTCAACTCAGAGTAAAACGTCTTCAGAGAAGTTTCAACTTCAATCAATTTTTGCTCAAGTTCTTCAATAACTTTGTCCTGTCATGTGGGAAAATAAAAAAAAAAGAAATTTTAATTTGAGAAAGATGTTGAAAATTTCAAGGTTAAAAATTGGAAGAAAAACGAGAGAAAGGTTAAAAATTGGAAGAAAAACGAGAGAAAGGTCAAAAATTGGAAGAAAAACTAAAGAAAGGTCAAAAATTGGAAGAAAAACTAAAGAAAGGTCAAAAATTGGAAGAAAAACTAAAGAAAGGTCAAAAATTGGAAGAAAAACTAAAGAAAGGTTAAAAATTGGAAGAAAATGGTAAATTTAAAAAAGAAAGATCAAAATTTAAAAATATAAATTAGAGATGAAAATTATGGAAATACAAAATTAAAAAATTCTTTAAATTTAATAAATGTAATTTTAAAAATGTAAAAAAAAAAAATTTAAAGTATGATGAAAATTAATGAAAAATTATCAAAATTAAAAAAAAGATGAAGTAAAGAAAATGAAGAAAAAAAAATGTTTTTCTGTTTTTCGGTATTTTTTAATAAAACACTGAAAAAAAAAATTTTTCCCCTTCCCTCCCCCAAACTCTTGGAATATGGGAATTAATTCCATATTCCAAAATGGAAAAAATAAATGAATTTCGCTAAAACTACGCTAAAACAATAATATAAGCCAAAATATTAAGAATAAAATTATTTAATTTACTTTTTCTGTGAGTTTTCCTTCAGAGAGCATCAGATTCTTCATCATTTTTGTCTGTTCCGTCTCTAGGCTGAAAATCTGGACTTGTTTCTTCTTCAAATCATTCTGAGCTCTTTCCAACTGAGATTCTAGTTCTGTGGTCGTCTGCATCAGAACTGACAATCTCATCTTCTCTTCCTCAACCGTTTGGATCTTTGAATCAAACGTCTCCTCAATAATTCGCCTCTCACGCTGGATCTCTTGAAAAGCTGTTTCACGTTCCAGCATGTCCACCTGGATATTCTCCAACTGCCGGGCAAGCATCTCCTTCTCGCTCACTGCCTTTTGCCTTGTCTCTGACAACTGCTGGTGGAGACGGGCATTATCTGCCTTCAGACGTTCCACAATGGTGCCCTGTGAGGACACCTGTGCTTGAAGTGTGGTCATTTCTTTCTGTAGTTCAACTCGAATCTTGTTGGCATTTTGCAACTGGTCATGGTACCACTGCTTCGTACTGACGATAGAAGCAAGATCACTTTTAGCTGCACGAGCTTCCGTGTCTGCCAACATCTTACTCTGAAGTGTTGTCTGTACTTCAACATACAGCTCGGCAACTTTGTTTTTCAGGGCCTGTATCGTGACATCTCGGGCACGTAAGTCGTCTTTAAGTTCGCGGACCTTTATCTGCTGTTTGTCTGTTGTTTCTTGGGTTGCCTTCAGTTCCTCATCTAGCCGCTTTGCATCTTCCATCTTCTCCTCAAGCAGCTTTTGTGTGTCTGCAAGACAGTGCTCCAGATACACCCGACTGTCCTTCAAGCTCTCAATGTCTGCCCTCAAGGCATTTTGCTTGACATCTGTGTCGGACTTTTGGGCAGACATAAACTTGAGCTGCAGAGAAGCCAGCTGAGCCTGTAACTCGGCTCGTTCTTGAAGAGCAGTCTGCGCTTCGGAGGTCAATATTTCTAACTGACCTTCAAGCTTAGCTTTTTCTCGGAGGAGTTCATTAACATTTATACCATCAGCTTTCATGACCCCAGCAGATTGGTTCTCTGTCACAATCTAGAAATGAAAGAGGGGAAAAAAAAAAAAAAAAAAAGACAAATTTAAAATTATTCCAAAAGAATAGCAAATTAGTTAGGTTGTTTAGAAAGAAATGTCTTATTTTTAAACCTAGAATAAAAACCCATTTAAATGTTATGAAAAAAAAAAAATGTTGCTCAATCTACTCCATGACAGTGACTGTACCCAAACTGAACAAGTGATATTATGTCAATCCTTGTCTACTTTTCTCTCTCAATGCCACAGTTCTCTATCTTCTTGGATCATCTCATTGCTCTTTCTTTCATAATTCCTTTAACAACTCGATGATCTTCCTCTCTCATGCTCAGAACATCTCAACACTCTCTTATAATTCTTCAAACATCTCAGCTATTTCTCATTCGCTGAACATCTCATTGCTCTCCCTCTCTCATTCGCTGAACATCAATACTCTTTCTCTCTATCATTTGCTGAACATCTCGACGCTCTCTCATTCGCTGAACATCTCGACGCTCTCTCATTCGCTGAACATCTCGATGTTCTCTCTCTCTCTCATACGCTAAACATCTCGATGCTCTCTCTCTCATATGCTGAACATCTCGATGTTCTCTCTCTCTCTCTCATTCGCTGAACATCAAAGCTCTCTCATTCGCTGAACATCTTGACGCTCTTTCTCTCTCTCTCATTTGCTGAACATCTCCATGCTCTCTCTCTCACATTTGCTGAACATCTCCATGCTCTCTCTCTCTCATTTGCTGAACATCTCCATGCTCTCTCTCTCTCATTTGCTGAACATCTCCATGCTCTCTCTCTCATTTGCTGAACATCTCCATGCTCTCTCTCTCTCTCATATTTGCTGAACATCTCCATGCTCTCTCTCTCTCTCATTTGCTGAACATCTCCATGCTCTCTCTCTCTCATTTGCTGAACATCTCCATGCTCTCTCTCTCATTTGCTGAACATCTCCATGCTCTCTCTCTCATTTGCTGAACATCTCCATGCTCTCTCTCTCTCATTTGCTGAACATCTCCATGCTCTCTCTCTCTCATTTGCCGAACATCTCCATGCTCTCTCTCTCTCATTTGCTGAACATCTCCATGCTCTCTCTCTCATTTGCTGAACATCTCCATGCTCTCTCTCTCTCTCTCATTTGCTGAACATCTCCATGCTCTCTCTCTTGTAATTCTCAGCACACTTCCACGCCCTCTCACTTATTATTCACCTTGATGTCCTCTCATAATTCTTGTAATACCTCAATATCCTCTCTCTCCTATTTCTTTTAACACTTTGATGTCCTCTCCCTCCTAATTCTCATAATACCTTGACACCCTCTCTCTTATAATTCTTGTAACACCTTAACTCTCATTCACATAAGATATCAACACTCTCTCTCATTCTACCAGTGATATAATGAGTGACATAAACTATAAAAAAAAAAAAAAAAAAACAACATCTCAATGCTACTGCCCACCCCTTTTTCTTTTAATACTTGCCACTCAACCCTAATTTATTTTTATTCACTTTATTCATTAATTTCATATTTGTAAAATTTACATTCGACTAAGCACATAAAAACTATAATCGGTCACTAATTGCAGAGATATATTAGAATAATGAGTTTTCAGTCATGAACATTTGTGAATTTATTTTTTACAACCGTCTATTATTATTATACTGGCATAGCAAACAAGTCAGACAGTAGCAATAAAAAAACAAAAAACAGCTGAAACTTTGCCAAGTTCAAATCCAGTCAGCATTAAAATATTAACCATGATTATTGTCCTGGTTGTTTCCCCTACCTCCACCATCAATCACACTGCTTTTTGATACTACATAATCTTAAGAATGGATTTTTTGATGGATTTAATAAATCCTACCCATTGCCTTGAGGGTTACATAAACTGATACAAACAATAGCCGTAATCTGGCAGTAATATTTGCCATAATTCCTGACCCTCGACAATCCCTACAGTTTTAAATTGCAATGTATATCTATAATAAAATCATAAGCAATTCATTTACATTATAGCCCTATTCTGACAGTTATGTGCCATGTGTGGTACACGCTTAGGCGATCATGTGTCTTTCGATACATGACTGATGAGGCAGATTTTTTCCCATAGTAGGTTGCCATTTCTTTCTGTAGTAGACCAGTTGACATCCAAGGCTATAGAACCTGGTCTGTCCTGCTATTTACCCATATCTTTGAGAAGAGAATTCATACCTTTCCCAAGGGTATTAGAACGTAAGTGAATTTCAGTCAGTTATGTGCCATGTGTGATACACGCTTAGGCAATCATATAGAACCCATCTGTCCTACTATTTACCCATAGCTGGGGGGTAGGAGAAGAAAAGGATTCATACCTTTCCCAAGAGTCAGTCAGTTATGTGCCATGCGCAATACATGCTAGGCGATCATGTATCTTTCTATGCAAATTTTTTTCTTGCAGTAGGTTGCCATTTCTTTCTGCAGCAGACCTGTTGCCATCCAAGGCTATAGAACCATATCTATCTGGTCACTCCTCCTACCCCAATATTAAGTATGATTGAGAGAGATATGAAATTAATCCCTCCCTATACTCTAACATGTCTCTTTAACTATCCCTCTTACACTCTCTGTTAAATTACAAAAACTTACACTACCCATCAATTTTAATTTCATTTTTCATTTCATTTCATTTTTGGAAGTGCTATCTGATGATCCGGTGTCCTTTAAAAGGGCTCTGGTGAAATAAATTATTATAATGGTACCTTAAAGTGGTCTGTTTTTCTTTAATATATATATATATATATATATATATATATATATAATTTCATACATCAGTCTATCTCAAGTTTGCTTTCGTTTGGTCTTTAATATGGTAACAGTAGCAGGCTCAATATAAGTTACCTCCCTTGGATATTTTTAGTACGTCATAAAATCAGTCAATGAACCAGTAATAGAACTAATAGGAAATTATGGAGAGCCATGATCACCTATGTCCTGAAGAGACATGGTACATAGAAGAACAAACTTTTACCAAATAATTTTAGTATGTTTTTGAATATTTATTATATAGGTGGACAGGGGAAAATTTTTCTATGTGAAAGTGGGCAATGACGCAAAAAGGTTGGGAACACCTTGATCTTTCTTTAATATCATGTCCCTTTGGAACCAAGACAATCATGGCTTTTTACAAATTCCATTTCTTTATTGCCTGTGAAATGTCAAGATTTCTTGGGAAAGATAGCAGAGCATTTTCTCATTGCCTTATCAATGGTTTGGAATTCAGTTTTCCTTCTCTTGGCTGGTTGCCACCAAAGGCTAGAAGAGCCATGAAATTTAACCCATAGATGGGGATAGGCCAAAAGATATGGATTTACAAATTTCCCAATAGTATTTGTACAAAAGTAAACATAAGAAACTCAGATGGAATTATAGTGTGGCTTGCTGATTCACTTTCTGTGTCATCATCTATATATAAAATTCCGTAACTTCTGTCAGTCCATCCATCTATCACACCCTCTGAAATAGGCATACATTGATCGACTGAAATCAAATTTTTGGGAAAAGTGCAAACAGGTAAGGGGGTACAAAGTAGTTGAAGCTTAGTACAATAAATTTTAATTAATTTTTGGGGAAAAATTAAATTTTATTATTTAACATACAAAATACTCCCACTATTTTAAAAACAATTTAATGATTAAAATAAATACTTAATTAATAAAAATGCAATACTGTTTTGTGCATATCTCTTCTTTAAGATTTTATATACAAGAATTTTTTTTGACATGCATCAACATGTTGCAAACAAATTCTAGTATAAAAAAAAAAAAAAAAAAAAAAATCAAATATTGAATTGTTGTCTAACCATAGAGGTAGATGAAAGCTTTCACACAACTTTAAATCAACCCTACCTGTGATATCATGAGCGACATAAATTATAAACAAAACAAAAAAAACATGCTGACAGCAACATCTCGACACACAAAAAAGGAGATAAAAAATATTACTCTACCTGTGATTTCCTTTCTGTAAGTGGTTTCATTGCATTCTTAAACAACGGCCCTGGATCAGGCAGAGAAATTTTGGGTTTGGAAACACTTGGTATGTGTTGGGCAAAGTTCGAGGGTGGTAGGCTCAGGTCTTTTTCAGGCATCTCCACACTGCTGCCTACACTCACGTTATCAGGAACATCCTTGGTTGGTGGGGAATATTTACCACTGGCCAGAGGGGGTTGGTGTACCCTGGAGAAATTCTCAGACTCCAAGCTGAGTTCAACAGGATTGAAAGATCGTTCCCGCACAGGAGGCGAGTGGCGTCCATTTCGAAGTCTTTTCAAGAAAGCATCAAGCTCCACAGCTTTTACTGGAGGCAGGGACCTGAGGAAGGCCTCAGCATTTGAGTCTTCCTCATAGTTGTAATCTTCATCACAGTCTGAGAGTTGGAAGGAAGTACTTTTTATGGAATCAGTTTCCTCGGACCGGCCATTTTCACTTGTCTTTCGATCGCCGCCTGTTTCCTTTGGCACTTGCTCGGGCAGAGAAAGAGTGGTGCTCGTACTGTCAGGGAAGGCAGACATGTTTGGGGATAAAGAGACAGAGGAAGACATAACATTGGGGGCAGTGACGCTGATTGCAGCTGTTGCTGCATCTGTGGAGGTTCTCTCCAATTCTTTTCGTTGGTCTCTCTTTGAGAGAGACTTCTGTTTAGCATATTCAGTTATATCAGCAGTTTTTTTAAGTTGTTCCTTGGTAAGATCCACTGAAATGCTTTCAGCTGGGACTTTTATTTTATTCATGGAATTAGTGTCACTGATGCCACCCAAAAGTTCAAATTTTTCTTTATTAGAGACAGTAGGAGCATTGTCCACTGGGTTGGGGGTATGATGAAATGGTTCGGCGCCAAGGCAAGTGAACTTGGTGGGAGAATCATACTTTTGGGTTGTTAAAGAACTTTCAGTTTGAAAAGATGCAGATTCCTGTCAAAATAGAAAAGGACAATTAAAATAGCACAGGAACTTGTATTTTCATGGGTTTTATTTTATAATTTATAAGTTATAAGTTTAGTAACATGAAACAAGAAAACCATATCTCGTGATTAATCCAAATGATTTGGAATAAAGAGGCTTTATATCTTGTTCAACTTTTCCCCACTTCATACCACCTCTACATAAAATGAGAACTGCTCACAACAATAGAACACAAGTTGGTTTTTCAACAGAATGCACCTCGCAAAGAAATAATATTCTTTTCAATTTTTTTTTTTTTTTTTTTTTTTCATTTATTCAATCTAGATCATAGGTTCCCAACCTTTTTTAACTCATGGCCCACTTTGAACCCAGAATTTTTCTGAGGCCCATGAAATTATTATAGTGTAAAAAAATTATTTCTATCTTGTGGCCCAATAAAAATTATAAAATTTCTATGGCCCACCTAAAATTTGCCATGGCCAACTTTGGCCATAGGTTAGAAAACACTGATATAGATCCCAAATGAAAAAAAAATTATTTTTCTAAATTTTAACAGCTGCGGGTTCAGTTCGCTATGTAAATCCATTGTAAATTAATTCCACTATACAAGCTAAAACATATGTTCATACCGACTGATATCCTCTATTCCAGGGTATGATAATAAATTACATCTGGCAGCAAGGCCTCTGATTGAGAGATTGTGGAGCCTGGAACCACCTCTTAATTGTTGTTGTTTCCAGGTCCACCCAAATCTGGGGTGGTAGCACCTGTTAGGGTCCCAGCTATGGGCAAATGGTGACCCCCCCCCACAAAAGAAAAACACTATGAAAGTATATAAGTATATTTTTTTTAGTAAAAATATCAGAAATACCTATTTATAGTAGAATTACTAAAAAACATTTCATAGCAAAATGAGTAAAAATAAATTTTATCTGTAGTTGAAAAATATCTGTGTTCAAAATATGTTTAGTTGAAACAATAAAATTGTGTCCGAAATATTTAGATTTCAGCATTAAATAACCCATGGAGGTGTTGCTATGCTGCTAATCAAGACTAAATAACAAATCTGATACCCTCCTATTTTAACACAATGCAGGAAAAAAGTAAGTAAAAAATATGCTTTTAAATGGAACAATTTTAAATTATCTAAGGTAATAAGTGTGATAGAAAAGGAGGAGGAGGATGTGAGAAAGAAAGAGAAGAAGAAATGGAAGGGTATTATAAATGTTTCAGTGGCTGTTAATTGAAATGTACATACTTTTTTTAATGAGCCTCATATGAGCTTAAGAGGAATTTTTTTGTATGAATGCAACGGCTCATGACTTATAGTGTTGGGAGGTCATCTAAGAAAAAATTACCAGAGGATACTGTAAGGTTGAAACCAAAGTAGCAAAATTAACTGATCTGCTAATTTTTAAAGTTAAAAGCTCTACATGTTACTTCTTTTTTTTTTTTCACACATGTATTGAGCACTTTTTAATACTACTGTTCCCTGGTCCAATTCAACCCTGACCATTAATATATATATATATATATATATATATATATATATATATATATATATAGTAGCTGTCCTCTCGGTTTCGAGCGTGACCACCTCCTTTATTTCATGTCCTCACCCTGCCTCCCACTCCCCTCAAATTCTATGTATTTGCAGGTGACTCTTCAGGCCAGCCAAACTGCGACAAATTTTGCCACAGAATTGGCATAAGCAATCAGTTTTGTTTACAGTGACATTATTAGGGTGCACACCAGGTTTTGCACATTTATGCAAATGGCTTTTGAAGCCGGCTAAAGATAGGCACAATTTTCTGCATATGTCACAATTAACGTGGTGAATTTGTGGACCCGGTGCTGGACCCTGTTCGCCTTTACGAATCAGACGTTTGTAGGCACTGTACTGCATACGTCTATTCTCAAAGGACTCAATGCTTTCGTGAATTAGTTTCCGCCACTTCTATCCAAAGCC